TAAGAGTGAGATTAAATTTCATAAAATTGAAATAAAGCAACTCAATGAAAACTCTAAAACTACTTCACAAAATTGAAATTGCAATGAAATATGTAAATGAAATAAATGCTACTTTTAAAAATGTAGTAATGTTGCTGCTGAGAATGGCTTAGGATGGTGTTCACATTTTTTTTTTTAATTAGTAAAAACGCTAATTCAAAATGTTCAACATGTGTTTCGCACGAAGAATTTGCAATAATGAAATGGACGTTCAGCAGAGGACGCTTACACTCAAACCACGTGACGTTTTATTGCTTGTGACCTTCCGTACTTTTTAATTACAGCCATTTAAACGATTTTTTATGAACACAAAATTACATTTCTTAATTACTGCAGGTCTTCTGATTGGACGAAGCGATACAATTTAAAAAGTGTTAAAAATGATCTCTCACATAAGGACATTTACGAAAGTGAATGCGGCTTTCAACTAATTTTATAATATTTTAACAACTTAAATGTAAAAATCTAAAATAATTGAAGAAATAACAAATAATTGTATTAAAAATTCATTTTTTATCAAAAACATTTTTTGCTTTCAGAAAATACTGTCCATATTCATAAAAACAAATAAAAATCAAATAAAAGTATTTGAAATTAAATAATATTTTTTGTTTTATTGAATTTTGTATGTTACAATTCAGGGCTGATCTTCAGGTAGAGGGGGTCCAATTAAAAAAAAAAAAAAAACATGATTTGCTTTCCTCAAAGCCTTGTACTTTTAACTAATATAATCACTAAACTAGACGCAATTGAATTTCTAGAGATTTCATAAAATTAGTTAGGAGAGGGGCAATAAATATATAAAAAAAATTATTTCTGCAATGACTTTAATAAAAATAAAACATATTTATAATAATTTCGATCATCTGTGAATACTTTCTGAAAGTTTCATTAACATCCGACAATTATTATTATTTTTGCAAGATTTTCCAAATTAATGTGTGTCATACAAAAAAAAAAATTACGTTATTTTACAAGTTCCGGTGATACAAAGAGAAACAAGGTTTTTTTTAATTAAAATTTAGAATGTTCTAAAAAGAAGGAAAAAAATTTAAAATAATTTTAAAAAACTTTAGTCTTTCCTCTTAATAATAACATAAACATTTAGACGATAAATTTTTGTTTTCGTCAAGGTTGGCCTGTTTTTCATCATGCTATGCTCTTTTTTTTTAGCGATCTCATGGAGGTACCTATTTTGGTCGTTCATACTAGAGTCTGTAAACACTTACTTCGGGAATAGATTAATTTTGGTCGTATATGTTTGAGTTTGTAAGCTGTTACTTGCTACAAAAATAGATAAGTGTTTGTATTTTATATTTGAGTCTGTAAGTATTTACTTGCTCCAGAAATAGATAAATGTTTGTATTTTATATTTAAGTCTGCAAGATCTAGATTTAAAATTCAAATGCTAAGCACTGACTCATTGATTTTGTTAGAAATTAAAAAGACTTGAATTTACAAAGTTTGCTTAACACACACGCAAAAGCGAATCAAAACAAAACTCGTTGCATTTACTTGCTACAGAAATAGATACGTATTTGTATTTTATATTTGAGTCTGTAAACTATTACTTGCTTCATTAATAGATAAATGTTTGTATTTTATATTTGATGAGTCTGTAAATATAATTTCGGGAATAGATACATTTTGGTCGTTCACATTGAAGTCTTTAAAACACTTTCTTTGGGAATAGATTAATTTTGGTCGTATATATTTGAGTCTCTAAGCATTTACTTGCTTCGGGTATAGATAAATGTTGGCCATTTATATTTGATTCTATATACATTTACTTACTAGGTGGCGTCTTTTTGTTTTAATGTCCTTACTATTATGATGCGACTGCAATCGGAATATTGTTAGCCCCGCTGGGAGGGCAGAGATTAATTTTGTTGAAGATAGAAGAAGAAAAAAAAAATTAGAATATCTTACGCCATTTTTTCGTATTTTCGTCTCGTCTTAAAAAGAAAGAAAATTAAAACTCACACTAGAAAAACCTTGATAGCAATATCGTTTTATCTTAGAAGAAACAGCCATACTATTTTCCCATAACTTGAACAGATTTTTTTTTTTTCTTTTTTTAATGAAATGTTTCAGTTCTTCTTATTATTAGATTACCGCCGTTGTTGCTGCTATATTTCACTGGTATTGTTCATCTATTTCATGGTGGAGTAATGGATAGCGGCTTGGATTGAGGAATCGGAGAGCCGAGTTCGAATTACATTCGAATCCATTACATTTACTTACGTTCTAATACCCTTGGAAAAGGTATGAATCCTTTTCTTCTCCCTCCAGCTATGGGTAAATAGCAGGACAGACTGGGTTTATAGCCTTGGATGACACGTGTTCTAGTAGAAGGACAACTCTGAATTCAAACCCGAAGTGGAGCCCCTAAGGCGGGTGGACGGCACTTTGTGCTACCTTCCGGCAACGCCTGCAGCCGCACTGGTACCAAATTGTATTGGTTTATCCTCTCCTTTGGAGTCTGCTAGCAAGGCCAAGAGGGGGAACTAGACGTCCGGGCAGCCCTAGTCTCTATCTATCAAAGGCTGGGTGTGTGTGTAACGAATGTACGGCTGCAATTTTCGACGGATTTGCACCAAAATTTACATGCACATGCTCCAAGTTAGTGAGAAGACCAAGACCAACTTTGCATTTCCCAACTCCCATCGATAGTGGAAATAATCGATTTTTTCATGCTTCTACGGCACTTTTCATGTAGTTTGCGGCCATTTTGTACTGGCCAGAGTGAGAGCCAACAGCTGGCTGCCACGAATAGGCAGGAAGATTCTACTGGCCAGCATGAGAGCCAACAGCTTACTGACACGAATGTTAAGTAGCATGCTAGCATGCAAACAAAAATCGATACCTGCATTCGTCACAAGTGGGAAAAATTTAAATCTGCATGGCACTTTACTCCAATTGGCTCATTCGCTTGCTTAAACTCAACGTTGATTCTGATTCCGCAGAACTGGGTTGGGTGTTAAAAAGTATTTGTTGTTAACATTATTTTTTCATTTTGGTTTTTCCAGTTACGAGTTCTTTTTTAAAGCTGATCGTTTTGTGTTCATTTTGTTAAGTTCTTTTTTCGTAACAGATTTAATGTTTAGCATAGAGCTTAGAAAAAATTCGCAGTGTGAGATAGGCAAGAAGTAAGACATGTAGCAACATCAGCACGGCAAAGGGCACTTCTTTAAAGGCAAGGAAGGACAAAAATATTTTAAGTCAAGTGATAGCGATTGCTGTATGAATCGTACGATTTTTGAATCAAGCCCGGGCAACGCCGGGCCATGCTGCTAGTTCTCCATATACCCCGCCCAGGCTCGTAGCGCACCGCGCTACTCCTTCGTCTCTCGGGACGGACGGTCGAACGGATGGACGGACGAGTCATCCATTTTATCTTACCTCCTGCTGAGTGATCATTACTCTTGTCTTCGGGTTGTCTTAATTAATTTTATATTTACTCTTTTTGCTCTTAATTTGGGCAAGTTAAAATTGGGGTGCTTCTTTGGGACAACTGCCGTCGATAAATAAGGTAATTTTTTTTTTTTTCATAAGAGGCGTAAGGCAAGGATATGTCTTCTCGCCGGATTTATTTAACTATTACAGGCGATGCTATCCTAATAGAACTAGAAGGTACTACCAATATGTATTACTAATAGTCTCAATCTTAACAACATAGGAAACTCAAAGTACACCCTCATGATGGTAGACTCAGGAAGAAAACTACAGGAACTCCTAAACAAGATAATAAAAGAAAGCAAGAAGAAATGTCCAACCATCAATTGTAAGAAGAAAGAATTTGGGTTTGTCAGACATAGAAGAACACCAAAATGGGAACGACGGTTTTAAGATGTCAGGACCAAGAAAGTACAAAAATTTCACAATATAGGGAGTCCTTAAACAGAGAATGGAAAATGTGACACCGAAATCCGAAGTACCATTAAAATAACGAAAGTCGCCTTCTAAAATCTAAAGTAGTAAGCAACAGGAAAATCTCGTTAAAAACAAAGAAAAGACTGTTATGTGATATCAATCCACCTATATAACAAGTCTCCTCTTCATCTTCACAGATGAAAATGGGGACTTGAGGCATCAGATCTCTGACTCTACAGTAGGATGCTGAGAATACACTTGATGGAGCAGGTAACCAATGAGGAAGTTTTAAGCAAAATGGAAACAAAAATTATAATTTCAGAAAGAAACAGAATACTTAGTACATCTAATGAAAGACGGTTGGAGAATTTGACACTCGCATGGCATATTAAATGTAAAGGGAAATCTGTCTATATTTCTGAGATGACGTATTATGTACACTATTTCCATCATTCAGACTATTGTCCTCATCTTTGTCGCCATATTTATTACAACGTTTCGGCCGTTCAGTATCTGTCTATATTTCTGAGATGAGCTATTATGTACACTATTTACATTGTTCGAGCTATTGTCTTCATCTTTGTTGCCATATTTATCACAACGTTGCACGCTCCGGACTTCTTCACGTGGTTGGAATGTCGAACTGGACCCTTTATTTCGCTCACTGGGGTAAACTGTTCTAGTTCCACGTGCCATGCCGAATATATATCAGTTATCTCCTGTTAATTCCCCTCTTCCCCAAGTTCTTCACTGCCTTAACCAGGTATTGAACTCACAACTCTTTGGGTCCTGTCACTGGATCTAACCAACGCTTTTATCCACTGTGCCATGTGTCCTTAACGTTGTGATAAATATGGCAACAAAGACGAGGACAATAGTCCGAATAATTTCAATAGTGTAAAGGAAAATATCTACGTAAGGCGTTTGTGTAAATGGATTGGCAAACAGGGACCCAGAAGAAGACAGACATTAAGTGCTACGGAAAATAGGAAGATATCTTGAACGATATTGGAAGGTGGATAGCTTTTAAAGATTTCTTTCACAAGATCTAATTATTTAGTACACCGATGTGTTTCTAGAAGAAATAGATGGCCAATCTATATTTATTATTATTTCTCTTTGTCTTTCTCTTTCTTTTCTCTCTTTTTTTTTCTTTCTTTCTTTCTTTTTTCTTCTGTATTACCATCTTTTTTTTTTTTCTCTTCTAAATTTCTGGGTGTCTTTTTTTTCAATACATTTTTTCCTTTTTCTTCTTTCTTTCTTTCTTCTGTTTTTTCTTTTTATCATCATTTTTTCTTTCTTTCTTTCTTTCTTTCTTTCTTTCTTTCTTTCTTCACTGCTTTCTTCCTTTCAGTTTATTTTTTTTCTTCATTTTTCAGTATGTCTTCATCTTGTTTGTCTCAATCATATCTCATTATTTTCTTTTTTTTCTTCTATTTTCTATATTTAATTTCTACTCTTTCTTTTTCTTTTCCACGACATCTCGATTTCCTTCTTTCTTTCTTTCTTCTCGTATCTTTCTTTTTTCTTTCTTCTAGTCTCTTCTCTTCTTTCTTTGTTTCTTTGTTCTTCGTTCTTTCTTTCTTTTAGTTTCTTTCCTTCTTTCTTTCTTTCTTTCTTCTTGTCTCTTCTCTTCCTACTTTCTTTATTGCTTTCTATTTTACTTCTCCCCTCTTCTTTCTTTCTTACATTCTTTCTTTCTTTCCATCCTTCTCGTCTTTTCTCTTTTTTCTCCCTTTCTTCATTTTTCTTTTCTTTCTTTCTTTCTTTCTTCCTTTCTTACTTTCTTTCTTTCTTTCTTTCTTTCTTTCTTTCTTTCTTTCCATCCTTCTCGTCTCTTCTCTTTTTTCTCCCTTTCTTCATTTTTATTTTCTTTCTTTCTTTCTTTCTTTCTTTCTTTCTTTCTTTCTTTCTTTCTATCCTTCTCGTCTCTTCTCTTTTTTCTCCCTTTCTTCATTTTTCCTTTCTTTCTTTCTTTCTTTCTTTCTTTCTTTCTTTCTCGTCTTTTCTCTTTTTTCTCTCTTTCTTCATTTTTCTTTTCTTTCTTTCTTTCTTTCTTTCTTTCTTTCTTTCTTTCTTTCTTTCCATCCTTCTCGTCTTTTCTCTTTTTTCTCCCTTTCTTCATTTTTCCTTTCTTTCTTTCTTTCTTTCTTTTTTCTTTCTCGTCTTTTTTTTTTTCTCTTTTTCATTTTTCTTTTTCTTTTCTTTCTTTCTTTCTTTCTTTCTTTTCTTTCTTTCTTTCTTTCTTTCTTTCGTGCTTTCGTTCTTTCTTTCTTTCTTTCCATCCTTCTCGTCTTTTCTCTTTTTTCTCCCTTTCTTCATTTTTCTTTTCTTTTCTTTCTTTCTTTCTTTCTTTCTCGTCTTTTCTCTTTTTTCTCCCTTTCTTCATTTTTCCTTTCTTTTTTCTTTCTTTCTTTCTTTCTTTCTTTCTTTCTTTCTTTCTTTTTCTTTTTTTTCTTTTTTTTTCTTTTCTTTTTTCTTTTTTTTTTCTTTCTTTCTTTCTTTCTTTCTTTCTTTTCTTTCTTTCGTGCTTTCTTTCTTTCGTTATCTCTTTCTTTCTTTCTTTCTTTCTTTCTTTCTTTCTTTCTTTCTTTCCATCCTTCTCGTCTTTTCTCTTTTTTCTCCCTTTCTTCATTTTTCTTTTCTTTCTTTTTTTCTTTCTTTCTTTCTTTCGTTCTTTCGTTCTTTCTTTCGTTCTTTCTTTCTTTCGTTATCTCTTTCTTTCTTTCTTTCTTTCCATCCTTCTCGTCTCTTCTCTTCTTTCTCCCTTTCTTTATTTTTCCTTTCTTTCTTTCTTTCTTTCCTTCCTTCCTTCTCGTCTCTTTTCTTTTCTTTCTTTTTTTCTCTTATCTTTCTTTCTACTCGTCTCTTCTCTTCTTTTCTTTCTTTGTTCTGTTTTTTTTTCTTTTTCCTTCTCGTCTCCTCACTTATTTCTTTCTTTCTTCCTCCCTTTTTCTCGTCTTTTCTATTCTTTCTTTTTTCTCGTCTTTTTTCTTTCTTTCTTTCTTTCTTTCTTCCTTTCTTTCTTTCTTTCTTCTCTTCAGTTCCTTCTTTTTTCTTTCTTTCTTTCTTTCTTTCTTTCAATGTTCTCGTCTCTTCTTTCTTCTCGGCTCATTCTTTCTTTTTTTCTTCTCTTTTCTTTATTTCTTCCTTTCTTCTCGTCTCTTCAATCCTTAATTCTTTCCTTCTTTCTTTGTTTCTTTCTTTCTTTCTTCTCGTCTCCTCTTTCTTTTTTGTTCTCTTTTTCTATCTTTCTTCTCCTCTCTTCTGTTATTTCTTTCTTTATTTCATTCTTCCTTTCTTCTTGTCTCGTTTATTCTCTACTTTCTTTCTTTCTTTCTTTCTTTCTTTCTTTCTTTGTTCTGGTCTTTCGTTCTTTCTTCTCGTCTCTTTTAATCATTATTTCTTCTTTTTTCTTTTTTCTTTGTTTCATTCTTTCTTCTTTCCTCTTGTCTCTTCTATTCTCTTCTTTCTTTCTTTCTTTCTTCTCTTCGTTTCTTTCTTTCTTTCTTTCTTTCTTTTAGACTCTGTCTTTTTTTTTTTTAACCTCAATGACTTACCTACTTTCCCCGACTCTCCCTCAGCACCTAGAGCACTCACAGCCCACTGACAACACTATTTGTACGCCCCCTCTCAACATCGCCGTGAAAACGAGTGCCTTCGGGTACCTGCTGCCATTTCTTTTACATTAAGCCAAACTCGAACGATTTCAGGTAACATGCTTGACGAGCAGCGAATAAAGAACCTTACCCATGAGAGAAATGCATGCTGCATAATGCCTGCCCCCTATAACTGGCATCCGCAGTCGGGTAGACTCGAAACTTTGCAGGGTAAAGAAAAGCAGGAACATGAACGATACACATATTTTTCACATTCCTTATTCCTATAAACTTTTTTTTTAGTGTGTACACGTGTTTCAGTTGACATCCCTGTTATTTTATTTGCATAAACCGTGAAACTAATATCAACCGGCCTATATCGCGAAGTCCTACTACAGTGGGCTATGATAAGTTTTTAGCCACCCTTAATTATAGCAATTTTGGCTTGTGTAATAACATCTCTTCTTTTTTTTTTCAGACAATACCGTGTTAGTATCAAGCTACTCTAACCTATGAGCGATAGTTGACTTATATTTTGCAACGAAAGCGGAAATAAGGAAATTAGTGAATTTCAACAAGGGCAAATAATAGAATGGCATCAGTGTAGCAAGTCAAATAGTGAAATTGCTAGGTTTTTTCCAGGTTAATCATCAAACGGTTAATAATATTGTCAAGAAATTTAATGAAGAAGGCCATTGTCGTGTGTTATGTGTCGTGTGGAACATCGTTCAGGAAGACCAAGCATCGTGTCAGATTGAACGGGCCCTGAAGAAGAAGAGGAAAAACCGTCGTCAGAGCGTCAAAGATGTCATCAGAAGCATGGAAATGTCGCCATATGCGGTGAGAAAGACTCTGAAAGAGTTAGGCTATCAAAGAAGAGTTGCAAGAAAGAAGCCCTTGATTTCAGAGTTTAACAGAAACGGGCATGTGGATTGGGCGAGAGAATTTGAGAGTAAAGATTATGAATTTTGGCAGTCTGTAATTTGGTCAGATGAAAATAAATTCTGCCAATATTCGAATTTGATACAGGTTTATGTTTGAAGAAATCAGAATAAGACTTGGAACACTGGATGACTGCAGGCAACCGTGAATCATATAGGGATTCTGGTTTGGAGAGACATCTGAGATGATTCTTGTTGATGAGTGGTTGAATGGTCCAAAATACTGTCAAATATTAGAGAAAGGCCTACTCCCACTATTTGAAGCCAATCAGATTGGCAAGAATGTCTATCTTTATCAAGAAGATGGAGCGCCATGTCATACGAGCAAAGTAGCAAGGGCATGGATGGAATCGCAAGGAATCAAGTCACTGACATGGGTAGCCCAAAATCCTGATTTGGATCCAATAGAGCAGGTTTGGGGGCACCTTGACCGAAGACTTCAAGAGCATGCAACCAAAATCATGTCAGTGGCAACCCTTAAAGTAACATTGCTAAAGGAGTGGCAAAATATGGATCAGACAATTGTTGATAACTTGATCAAATCCATGAAAACTTGAATCCAAGCACTGAAACTAGAAAATGGAGGACCTACTCTATACTAGTTCCAAATACTATTTATTTATGTTGAGTAGGGATTACGTAATTAAATATTGAAATTGGATGTCGATTATTTCTACTGGCTAAAAACTTTTCTTAGGCCACTGTAGATCGTTCACTGTTTAAGAAAACATAAACAGGAACATCAACTCAAACACGTGTAACCAGAGAAAATAACGTTTATAATAAGACGAAATAATGTTAAAATAGATAAATAAATACTGACAATAAAATAATAGTAATGCTAAAACAATATGGACACGTGGCCGACTGGTTAGAATGTTCGCATTCTGACCATGAGACCCCAGGTTCGAATCTCACCATGGTCGATTTGACTTCCTGATGTTATCCCAGCGTGCGGCCCCTTTGGAAAGTTTCTGAAAACCACTGGTTGATCCAAACAACAGATTGATCCAAGTCTTGGGAGTGAAATTGGATAGACGGAACCATAGGGGACCGTCGATACCTTGTTCAACACGCTCTTTCCCAGAAACTGTAACTAAGGTATGCTCAACATAGTTGAAGTATAAACCACCGGTGGTCTGCTATGGGTGTTGAATAAACACAAATGCGCCTAAGCAAGCTACTACAATAGGGATTGGCTAGCCTCCCTGGTAGACGGGTATCCTTGAATAAGAGTGGCTAGGTATAATACTAGAACAATACTAAAAAATGTTAATGATGAAAAATTCAATTTACAAATTTTCAAAGGCATATGAACAGAATGAGATAGATAAATAGATAGATATGAACCGATTCAGATAGATAAGACATGGGCAGATTGAGATAGATAGATATGAATAGATAGATAGATAGATAGATAGATAGAATGTGATAAACAGATAAATAGATAGATTGCTAGATAGATATAAACTGAATGATATAGAAAGCTATATATGAAGACACCAAGATAAATAAACAGGCAGATCGATAGACAGACAGATATGAGCGGCCTGACAGTATATATATATATATATGTATATAGATAGATAGATAATATTAGTGGTAAATATACACATACATATGCAATCATAGATCTAATATATATATATATATATATATATATATAATATTAGTGGTAAATATACACATACATATGCAATCATATATATATATATATATATATATATATATAAAATAATTCCAAGAGGATAGAATCCAGGTTGAACTCAATGTCCAGGACAGAGTAAGGATATAATAAAAAGGCTTAAACACTAATATCCCATGGTCATAATTTATTCCATTGGAATCGTAAATACGATCCAATTCTTCAGACCTACAAAAAAAAAAAAAAAAAAAAAAAAACTACTCCGAGAATAAAAAATAAAATTTAGTGAGAGTGTATGTATGAGAGTGTGGGACGAATGTTAGAGTAAATGAAAGCTATAGGGAGGAGTAACAGACGAGAGAAGAACAGGAAAGTCTAAAGATGAAGGGGGGATTAAAATTTGACAGAGAGAAGTTTTAAAGAGGGGAGTCAAAGACGGTTTAAGTGAAATAAATATGAATATTCTCGGATGTATATGTGTTTATATGTGAGTGTGTATATTTAGGTATGTATGTATACATATATATCTGTATATGGGTGTATATGCATGTATGTATATATGTATAGTTAGACGGATTGATAGAGGGATACATTGTTTATTTGTTTAGATGGCTGTGTGTATGTAATTGTATGGAGATGTGTAGGTTTTATGAATATATGTTTATGTCCGTATGTATATATGTGTGTAAATGTATATATATATGTAGTAGTATATATATATATATAAATATATATATATATATATATATATATATATATATATATATATAATGGATTTTCCTGTCGGTTTCGACTTATGAGGATCTGCCAGCTTATTGATTCAGTTATGAAAGTTTATGCGATAGTCTTAAGTGGCATTTAAGACCCGGTAGTGATTTACAAAGGAGGCCACATATGGAGCAGGTGTGAGAATTGTGAGATGAGATCACTGTTAGATTGGCTGACCTTTTAGATCTTGCTCTCGCTTCTTGAAGATGATTCAGACAAGCAGATTGAAAATTGCTGAGTCCACTAAAACACATTGATCTCCATTCTACCCTCTCCAAAGCTAAGCGCTCAAGGGTGTTATGTGGTATATTGATTGCTGACAAGTTGCTTTTCAGCTTGTCTTTGTATCTTAGTCATGGGCGTCCTACATTCCTGTAGCCCTTATCTAACTGGCTGTACATTAGGATCTTGGGTATCCTGTCATCAGACATTCTCAAGACATGACCAGTCCACCGTAAGTGAGACTGTATGAGAAAAGTCTCGATTCCTCCAATATTACACCTGTTAAACAGGTCTACGTTAGATGTCCAATCTTGAAGCTTAACTCCACAGAATCTAGCTGACGTATATGGTACCTATATGGAGTCCATGACTCTGAGCCATACAAATGGATGGCAAGTACAATAGCTCTGTAAACCCGAATTTTCGTATCCACAAGCGATGGCGAAGTTTGCCGAAAGCACTGGTAGCCTTAGCTATATATATATATATATATATATATATATATATATATGTGTGTGTGTGTGTGTGTGTGTGTATGTATATGTATGTGTATGTGTATGTGTGTACGTGTATATATATATATGTATATGTATGGGTATGAGTGTACACGCCTATATGTATATATGTACCTGTAAATATGATTATTTTGTTGTGAATGTGTGTATACGTATGTGTTTTTGAACATAGAAATATAGGTCCTTGTTAGATTAGATAATCGTTATATTTTTTATGCTTAATGAATATCATTTATCAGTTATCTCCTGTTAATTTTCCCTCTGAAACTTCTCCACTGCCTTAACCAGGTATTGAACTCACATTCTTTGGGTCCTGTCACTGGATCTAACCAACGCCTTTATCCACTGTGTCATGTGTCAGTGAGCGAAATAAAGGGTTCAGTTCAACATTCCAACCACCTGAAGAAGGCCGGAGCATACAAAGGCCGAAACGTTGTAATAAATATGGTTACAAAGATGAGGACAATAGTCCGAATAATGTAAATAATGTAATGAATACTTATAGTTGAAATAAATCAAATGATATGAAGATGAAAGAAATTGTAATCGAAAATAAACAATGGTTGACTATGTATTCTCTGCTAAATATTAAAGATCTTACAAATATGAATAAAGCAAGTGAAATTCCGATGAAAGAAAACTGAAATAAAATTGTTGAATCTGAAACAAACGCCATTTTTATTTCTTTTCCTTCTCCCAATTTTATCTTTTCCTGTTCTTTGGTCATTCAAGAGAAAATGACAGGAAATTACACAAGCCATCATTTCGGCTGAAACAGGAAATGTCGAAACGTTATTATTAACGTTTTGTCTGCATCGAAATGCGTAGATGAAATTGAAATGATGATGGCAGTCGAGGCGAGAGCGCGTCTAATGGCGTCTTAAGAATTGTCGTCATTCAGTGGAAAATAAAGTTGTCAG